TTTTTCGGAGTAAATAATTAATTAATATAACAGTTTTTATACTGTGTCTCAAAATACATGTGTATAACAATAGGAGGAAAATAAATCTTTCGGTACAAATGGTGTGTATATTCTTCACACAGAATATATTATACATTACTATACACTTCTTGTATAACAACCTCTACTATAATAACAACTATTTATTTAAATCACTTTAAGAATAGCTTTGATTACAAACGAGAAACGAAATTAAAAATTATGACAAAAAAGATATTTATATTTAAAATACTTATATTATAAGGATTTTATAAATATATAATTGAATGATATATAAGATAATAACAAATTTCCGGTTCGTAAGTGTTTTTAGGATTTTAATGACAACTTTTTATATGGAGAGAGAAGTAATTTAAAATATAATTTCATATTTTATTTCATTATAATTTTTGTATATTAGAGGTGAGAACGATGTCAAACAGTGTTCGCAACGATATATTATTAAGCCCTCAATCAGGCACTCAATTGTCATTTTTTGTATCGCAAAACCTATTTTCCCGACTCAACAACACATATAATACAAACACTGCTATATATTAGAGGCGAACCAAAAGTTAGCGTTTGTTTCCTTCTGTAATCTTAATTATTATTACTCTTACTTTTTGCAAATGTAAATCACTTATAGACCGCACACTTTCCTCTCGTCCGTCACCCAAAAGCAAATGCACTTACAGTTAATGAATTGACATAAATAAACACAAAATCATTTGTTAGTCTCGACTGTTATGTGATTTGAATTTATTATTTATTTTTCGGAGTAAATAATTAATTAATATAACAGTTTTTATACTGTGTCTCAAAATACATGTGTATAACAATAGGAGGAAAATAAATCTTTCGGTACAAATGGTGTGTATATTCTTCACACAGAATATATTATACATTACTATACACTTCTTGTATAACAACCTCTACTATAATAACAACTATTTATTTAAATCACTTTAAGAATAGCTTTGATTACAAACGAGAAACGAAATTAAAAATTATGACAAAAAAGATATTTATATTTAAAATACTTATATTATAAGGATTTTATAAATATATAATTGAATGATATATAAGATAATAACAAATTTCCGGTTCGTAAGTGTTTTTAGGATTTTAATGACAACTTTTTATATGGAGAGAGAAAAGAAAAGGTAATCATTTATTCAGTCGTCTAATAAGAAATATATTATTATTATTCATAACGACTTGTATTTCATAACAAACTTTTATTATAATATTTACTTATATATAAATATCGGTGTATTATTTGTCGCACAATTGTATTAATAGGTATGAAAAAAGAAGTCATTTTATTGTAGTAAAAAAGTTAATGTACTTTAAGTTAACGTACAATTGAATGAAGCATTTAATGGGAAATTTTCGTAGAAAAAAGTTTTTTATTACTATTATTGTTAGAGTCTATTCACTGGTCTCTCTCTCTCTCTCTCTCTCTCTCTCTCTCTCTTGTATTTTTTACGGTCACAACACTTTCACAGAATATATACTAATAATAAGTTTTTTATTATTATTGAATTTCATAACAATTGTATTGTGTATATATTGAAGGCATTCGGACATTCATTGTGTGTGTAATTATTTTTTCGCGATATATATTATTATAACATATTTTGTATTACTTTTTTTCGACGAGAGATAATAATCAATATTCGCGAACAAATAAAAAACAATACAAAACAAAACAACAAAATGTGTATAAAAAATATGTTTTTTGGTGAAAATAAAATAAACTAAATTTTTAAATATTCAATATATAAACCACGCATTCTATAGGGGTTTTCAAACCATTGGAAATCAAAACGAGTTTTAATAATAACAATAATATAGTGAATATACAGTATATATATTCTCACACTTAAAGTGTGCTCCAAATCGTGTTTTATGATCTTTAACGGCCATTCATATGATATACTAAATCAGAATTCATATATAAAAGCGGTTTCACATTCTCTCTCTCTCTCTCTCTCTCTCTCTCTCTCTCTCTCATACTCTATATCTATCGCCTCTAATAATGCTTCTCTTCCGAGATATATCTGTCAGAAAAGAATAACTATATGTTTATAAAAAACAAGGAATTAGTTTGTGTTGAATGATAGCGAGAGGTATACATGTATAGTAAAAACACGAGAAGTAGTGTGTGTTTAGAGTTTGTACGAGAGTTTTGGTCCAAAATTACAATAAACAGCGAAAACATAGGAAACCAAACGGAAAACAAAGCACAACACAACACAACTCCACCCACTGTTGGACACGAACTCCAACTCCCTATCGGATAGTGTTATCTTTTGCACGAATTTCTCTCTCCATTTGATCCGATCGTTCAGATCATCTGATCATTGAATGAGTGAATGAATGATACTTTTCTTTCTTTATAAGAAAAGTCAATTATAATAAAAATCGAGATATAATTCATTCAGACTTTTTTCTCATAAAATTATGCCTTATTTTCTCAATGAAAATGACTTATAATAAGCCATAACTCATACGATAATCATTTCCCGATTATTATATTGGTTTCGATTTATGTTATAAAATATAATAAAACATAATTTAATGCAAATATTACTCCTATTATTCCTAATCCGTTAACAATTTGCCGTAAGAATACATATTCACCGCTAAAACAAAGCATAATATATGAAAATATATTCATAAATGTGTCCCATATTTGTCAAAGACTTTTCACATCAAAGGGAGTATGAGATCAGAAATAAAACATTAGAATTATTATGTAATATATTCCCAACACAATAGGTAAGCAATAATGGGATACCACTATAGACTAATCACTTTATACAGTATACTTCCACTAAATGTACGCAAAACTAGATTTCCATAAAACTATAGCTGAATGTAAAATATTTGGCAATCGCTTTAAGTGTCTCTCGTTTTTTAGCCGCAATTAAATCTAAATATAATCAAAGATTTTTTAAAATACTTTTTCTTAATTGACATTTAAATCAAATAATTTAAACATAATTCGCTTCACGACATAAAAATGAGGCTTAAAATAGATTATTATCCCATTTGTGAGGCAATTAGATATTCGATGCATTGATTATATAGTAGTCTTCGTCGGGCATCGAGTCGGGCAAGAGGTCGAAGTCGTCGGTGGGTTCGGCGGCCGTCTGTTCCGACTGTTTATAGAGCAGTGACTCGCCGTCGTGTGTCAACCAATACCAGATGTGTGACGCGTGCAGTAATATGTTCTCCAAATCACTCTTCAGCTGAAGTGTATTGAAATGCTGTCAAACAAATGAGACAAAAACAAAAATGAAACAAAACTCATATAATTTATGGCATTATACTGTAATACCGTATAATAATAAAACCCCCAATAAATATGAGTACAAAAAACAAAACAAAATACAACAATAAGAAAAGTTTTGAGAAATATTTGATAGAAATACCACAAGAATAGCATTTAATTAAAAAATGTATTTCACATTTCAATAGAGGCTAATGACAGGCCACACGAATTCACGTTTGGGATTAAAGGTTTTTTCTCCGATAAAAACACTGTTTTTTAAGCAAAACACAAGCAGTCGTAGCCTTGGATTCATTAAAAGTACAATTTTTTGTGTTTTGTTTTTTCTCATAAAAGACTTATTAAAGTGAAAATATTTTTTTCTACACTTTAATGATAATAAGTGGGATAAAAGCGAAAGTTTTTCCAAACAATTATCGCTAAACAAATGCAAAATTATAATTGCAATGTATTTTTTCCATTTTATAAGTGCTATAAATTGTATTTTAGGGTCACTTTTGGCTATAAGTGGTATGGGTTTTAGGAAATAGCATTTGAATGCAAGTCATGCCTAACAATCAATTTTGACTACGATTTCAATTACAAACAATTATCGGGAATTTTAATTCACTCCAAGATTTAGGAGAAAAATGATTGAAAACGTTAAATAAGATTAAATAAGAGAATAATACGCGAGAAATGAAAATAAGAAATCAATTAATGCAACAAAAGATTGAATCGATGAATGAATTGTATGTATGAATTGAATTAAAATAAGCAAAAAATTAAATAACAAATAAATAATGAGAAGTAAAACACGATTTGGAAATCGAAATAAAAAGAGATAATGAATTGCATATAAGAGGCAGAGAAAGAGAAAACAATTAATGTATTTAAAATATACAGAAATCAAGATATAAAAGGAAAATGTAAAGCAAAACAACAAACAAAACACAACCGAAATTCAGTTCAACACAGAAAATGTGTAACAAAAGCATAATTTATTGCAAATTGTTATTCAATTAGTAGGAAAAACGGAACTAAAAAGCGAGTCAACGCGTGATATCGTGAACAATACCTTCAGGATTTCGGTGGCGTCCAACTGTTGGGCCATTATTAGGTCCCTTTCCCTGCGTATGATTGACAGGCATAGCGATAGTGTGTACAGCTCTGCGTCCGTCAAATGCTTTTCAGGCGTTTTGGGCACAGAACTGATGGACTCCTTCTTGAGCGGACTCTTCGGCGGTTCGCGTTTCTCTGTTTTGGTTCGGAAACTGTTTGATCTCATATGCGGTCCGTTACGGATCTTCACGTCCGGTACGTCTATAGTGTTGGAATTGAGGGCTCCTGTGCTCAGACTCTTATTGATCTTCTCGTGACTGCCTATCATTGTCTTAGTTTGTGGTTCAGTGGTGTTGTGTGTCTCACACGTGAGCAGATCGTGATCTGCGGTGGATGTGCTGTCGGCGGCCTTTTGGCCAATCTTTCTGATTATATGTGACGTCCAAATACTCTCCCAACAAATGAGACAATCGTTGTATTCGTCGGATTCGCTTTTCATGAACTCTCGCTTGAATTGGCAGACAATCCAACGAAAAGCGAAATAACAATTCGTTGAATCCTTATTGGCTTTCATTTACAATAAATATGGAAAAAACATTTTTAAATTAATTAAATTAAAAATATATTCCAAAGTATTCTGTATTATAAACGAGCAATAAATGGTTTAAGAGATTTATGTTTAAACTATATGTTTTTCTTTGTAAAAACTCCTAATAAGTAGTTATTATTGAAAAACAAGAAATGTTTTTGTTTTATACAAAAAAGCAACAAAAGAGGAATAATAATAACACGAATATAAGAAATTCATTAACAATTATTAAAACAAAAACGAGTTAATAATAAAATGATTACGAATTTTGAAAATGTCTCAAAAGCAATACAAAGATGTGGAGAATGGGAGGAGAGAGAGAGAGAGAGAGAGAGGCCAGCATTTTAACGATAACGTCATAAACTTATTGTAA